AGTGAAATACTAGGTTTAGAACTCACTCATAACATACATGCTTTAACTGACCTGAGAGTACTTTACATGTTCTAATAGTGATATATAATAGCATCTTGCAAAATATAATTGGCAAGATCAAACTTTCTGAGATGCTTTCTGTTCTGTCACCTGTAGGGGGCGCCACGACGGGGAACCATTTCTCAGAGTACCCATACTCAACGAAAACCACCAGGTCTACATAGTCGAAGTTTTGCACCTTCAACTCTCATTGACGAAGATAGTGATTTTGATGACGAACTTGACACCTCGTTCTTCACAGGACATGTGGTAAGGTCAAAGGTTATTTCATGGTCATGACCCTTAATTCTCTTGTGATCTTGCAGAGTTTGCATGTCGTATTTCTTTTCAGCGACCGGATGGATCTGAACTTAGCACACTGTAATGTTAAATTTATTTTCCGTTTAAATGTTTGATTCTATCAGCCATAAATACTAGCGCTGTTTAATTTCATTGCTATCGTTTCATTTAATAAGCTAGACATAAAATATCATGACCAAATTTTAATTTTGTATCTTATTTTGAAGGTGAAATATTGGTTGTGTAAAAAATCTGCCTACTCCATACACATATTACCTGCCACAAAGAAATTTGGTTCCATTTCTAAAAATTTTACAAAGTATTATGAAAAATTTGATAAAAATAATTTACTTTTATTGAAGAGTTGTGGTTGTCATAGCATACTTGTGATGTTTCACAGATTAACCGCTTGCTTAATTTTTCACCAACCAAATTTTGAAAAAAAGCTGACAATGCTTCCTCATTTTGATAAAATAGCCAAATGGTTGTGCAAGGTTTGTGGGTGTTTTTTAGTGTTTCTTTTTAAGGGATTTATGCATATTAACATGCTCGATGATCTCATCCAGGTGTGCAGTAAGTCAACACATCTATGCAACTTTAACTTAAAGGCGTATGTTAAAGATGTGTTCAATATTGGTTACTGTAAAATACTTTATTTTCGCTTGGAATTAATTTTCACTATTTTCGCTGAAGGGATGATTCAGTGAAAATAAAATCCAGCGAATGTATTTTTTTTTCTATATTTTACATTCAACTTGTCAAAAATCAGTAAAAGTAAATTCTATACAAAACACCCAAAATGGCTTCCCAGTGAAAATTAATTCCAACTAAAATAAAGTATTTTACAGTTTATGTAGTGTGTGTACAATGCGTGTAGAATACATAATATGAAATATTAACACAGGATGCATGCTGAGTTCGGTGCTTTGCTATTCCCAAAATTGTTATTAATCTTTTTGGAGAAAATATCAAAGTTGCTTCATGGCAAATTTGCATTGAGGGGATTGCTTGTTTTTCTTTGCTTCTCTCGATATCAAATTTCCTATTTGATGTCATGTTAAAATATTCATAATACTATGAATTGCATGATTTTTTTTTTGTTCATTCATTTTTCCTGCATGTCAATGTTTTTTTTTTATCAAATCTTCATTTCTATATTGGGCCATTACATATTTTTATATTGTGTCTTTGTGTTTTTTTCCTGTTATTTTTTTTTGTCTCCTTGCAAAGCTTTCCCCATCCTCCGAGTCACTGTATGACGAGGTGTTCTTTGATTTCTCACCAAAGACACCGAGACGGGCTATGCCGACCATCGAAGAAAAGGCATTGGAGAGTGAGATGACTGCCTCATCTCACTTTCAAAAAACACTAGAGAAACCAGAGAAGCCAGGCTTGGATGAGATAGATGCCACAGCTCAACCGCCGCCTGCGTATGATGAAGTTATTCGACCAAAGGAAGTGGAATATCTGCAGATGGTGTAAGTGTTCTAATAATAATTGACAAATTCTGACTGAAATACTGCTTTGAAATCGACACACAGATGATGCATATAATCATATAATCATATAAAACCACATGGAATCAGTGCATTGTCAATGATTGCTTCTACTCACCAACACATACTGTGACACTTTGCTTGCAATTGAACTGTTTATAACTTTCATTGATTCCAGCCCGTCTTCTACATTTGAAGGGACTTGGAAAATTTCTGTTAGCGAAAAAGAGAGAGTGTTCTTGTAATTCCTGTTTTATATCACCGCTTTGCCTTGACTGCTGCTGCATGTCAACATGTTCAAAATATAAAATCAGTAATTTTGTATAATATTGGTAAAATGCAGTCATTAAAATCTTTTCTTTCATAGTATTGCAATTATTATCATAATCATCTACTTGGATGCAATAAACTTTTTAATGCTTGTGGTTGTTACTGAATTGCCCTTTTTAAACCACACTATTTATTAATAAGCTAATTAGGAAATCATAGTTTAAGACGCGCCATGTTTTTCACTAGTATAGTATACAAACTATACACATTATTTTCAGATGGTGAAAGTATATCCAGGCCCACCCATGCCAATTAATTTCGGTTTCTGCATGCACCGTGAGTGAACCAAGTAAGATACACTGTTCATATTCAGGTCATTCAGCCGTTAATGTTCCTAAAAAGTGCATTTCATTCTTAATTGACGATGCAAAACATTGCATTATCGATTCAAATATTAAATTCCTCTTTATAAATAAAAGTAATTCTTCATTGTGCTAGTGTAAATCAGAGAAACGGACATGCATTATTTACAATGTTTTCTCTGAAAAGCAACAAACGGCTAATGTTCATATCCTGAATGTTTAACGACCAAATCTGTGTGATATACAGTGCAATTTAAGTTATTACTTTTAATAGTGAAAAATAGTATTAAGCTGAATTTCAATCTTGCTTATTTCTAGACCGACTGGATTTGGTTGGAAGAAGAAAGCCGCAGACAAGCGTTTTGAGGTAGCCCCTACAGCACCAGAAAAGCCAATACGACGTAACAAGATTGACTTGGATAAAATATTGGATGCTGCGTTTGACAACTCAGACCGACATGAGTTTGGTAAGGGATTGGTTGGAGAGTGGTTACACACAAGTTATAAAACGCAGCGAATGGATACAATGGTGGAGGAGCAGTTGGAGAAATTAGAGGCTGATCATAGGTAACATTTTTAGTCTATTAGTAGTGTAAATGTGCGTCTGACCTTTTCACCAAAAACACACAATAGTCGCTTTTATAGTCTGCACTTTCTTTCACAAGATTGGGACCAAAAAAGCCAAATTTGTTGAATATAAATTGAAAATTTTGTCTGTTGGCTCTAAAATTAGGGCTCATTTCCAGAAATATTGAAGAAAATAGGAAATATATGCAAAAATAATTTGGGCAAGAAAGTCTGGTAGTGAAAATGCCAAGGTCATATTACATGCTAAGGTCATATTACATGCTAAGGTCATATTACATGCTAAGGTCATATTACATGCTATTTGAATGATTTCACATACAATAAATGCAAGTTTGGTTTATGTGCATTTTAGCTGCGCTTCTAATAGAGCAAATAAGGTACATTTCTCTCTTATAATTATGATTGAATCCATTCCATGATATTCCCACCAAATAGTTATTGGTATCTAATTTTCATTTGTTGTTAATTCTAGATCTGTGGTCTTGATTACAATTTTCAAAAAAAAAAAAAAACATGACATAGTTGACTGCTATATTCAGTCTTGCATGATCTGTTGTACATCAGCTGTTTATTTTAATTTTTGTTGTATTTTACTCAGACCTTACTTTACTTACTGGATAACTTTTGTACACGTACTGATAACAATTATGGCTATTGGAGTGTATGGTTTTGCACCAGTAGGATTTACATTGAGAGAGCAGAGCGATTTGGTAAGTCTTCGATTGGACTGCTTAAGGTGCTAGTAATTATTGTCTTCATATTTGAACCCCTTAAGTCACCTATAATAAGTATTGTTATCATAATTGGACTCCTTAAATTGCATATAATAAGTATTTTCACTATAATTGGACTTCTTTTATAATTATTCATAATTAATAAGTAATACATTGTTGGCCAAAAATGATAGGAGTGCAAATAGTTGTCATGGCAACATAATAATGAGAATTACTGACTTGATACGCAATTTGTCTGTGACCATTATATCTTGGACAAGTGAATCTTGGGAGTATGATTTTCAAGATTTTATAAAACAACGCTGCCATCAAAATGCTTTAATTTTCATTTTTCCTATTTTAATATCATGAGTATATTTACTAGGTTTTATTAAATTGATGAATTTGCTAATTTGCATCAGTAAACAATTAATGCATTACACTACTAATTACATGATATGATAATATTTTGCTCTTTTCTGATAGATTCTGATGTCAAATTTAGCTGTCGAAAGCGTTGGTTTCTATGAACCAGAGAATTTTTGGCTGGGACCAAGATCGGTAAGAATCTTTCTTTAAATAGATAAACATGTATGTTGTGACTGAATGAATGCAACAAACATTACATTGCCAAATGATGCCCCTGTAAAGAGAGATACAGGCAGTTGACAATGTTGCAACTGTTTTCAGTTCATATGAATGCCCAATCCAACTAGTATGTGCATAGCGCCCTCTACAGGCGAATTTCTACAAAGATTGTCATGATTTGTCACACATCAACAATCCTTTATCTTTTTACCACCAGTTCCTCCTTTTCATCACAAATTCACAAAATATTTCTGTTTGGACTCTGCAATTTTCTTCAGAAGACTGGGACGGAAATAGACAAATTTTTTGAGTACAAACTGAAAATTGACTCTAGATGTTAGTTGGATTCAAAATTAGGGGTCGTTTCCAGAAATATTGAAGAATATAAGAAAAAAATACAGAAAAATTTGGGCGAAAGGTGAAAAGGTTTATATTGGATATTGGTGTTTTACAGATCATGTGACACTATGGTGACGATGAATATTCACATCTGATTATTAGCTTTAATTAAGACTTCCTATGAGATATTTTGAACTGTACTGATACACATAGATTCAAAACTAATTGGTAATACAACGCATTGTCTCATTGTAGGCTGATTTAATACATCTTGGTGCCAAGTACTCGCCGTGTATGCACACTGACGCTAGAGTTTTGCAAGCAATATTGAATGATAAAGAGTATGAGAATACCACGGGGTGCTGTATAAAAAATGATAAAGCTGGTTGTGTACAGACTACACAGGCTTTTTGTTCAGTAAGTCAGGTCTTAATTAGTGATATGTACCATGTGACACTGTGTAACCAATGAAAATTAGTGATATGTACCTTGTGACACTGTGTAACCAATGAAAATTAGTGATATGTACCTTGTGACACTGTGTAACCAATGAAAATTAGTGATATGTACCATGTGACACTGTGTAACCAATAAAAATTAGTTATATGTGCCATGTGACATTGTGTAACCAATGAAAATTAGTGATATGTACCATATGTGACACAGTATGGAGCTAACAAGATGATGTGTAAAGCATATTGTAAACATGAATTTTCAAACCTAGAAATATGTTATTTAATGCGGAGGGAATTGAGTTTGTAAACAACTACACGCCCGTCTGCTGCATGCCCAGGTTATGATTCCCCGGCTTTAAACTATTTATCGTTCTTAGCCTGATTGTTGACATTTGTATGGTTGCTGCTCATGGAACAATTGTACCATCCACAACATGTTTGACTAACAATTATAATTTATTCTATAAAAGGAAACATTTGCAGTGTTTGAAAAGTGGTCTGATACAAATCCAGGTCCACAAGGAAGGACATCGGGAGCTGTATGTGGTCAAGATCCAAGGTAAATCATCTTAAAAACTTTCACGGCTAGTTGTAATCTATATTTTGTTTACAAGATGGCAATACCAGTTGAACTGATTTATGAATTAATCAGTGAAATATTGGACTTAATCACCCCAGTATCGATTACATGTATCTTAGTCATAAATGTGTAATATACGAGATAAAACCACATTTCCTTTGCTGACTGCCCAAAAGTATTTGGTTCTTGTAGTGTTCTACTGCTGTATTATTGTGGCCTTTGACCTAGTCTTGTTTTGTAATTAATTATGCGGTCATGCTCAGTAGCACCTAGCAACCAGGAGTTCAGTCATCATTTTAATTAAATAATTAAGAACATTACAGTTCTTTATCATCATTTACCTTTATTATAAGAACATCAGGTCAGCTGTAGGTATTGCCATCTTGTTCCAGTCAGTATGTATGGCATCTTCTTGGTTATGTAAAACTGAAGAGCAGTTGGTATAATGTCCATATGCATTCATAATTTTCAGAGCCTGCACGACTCCAGCCAGTGTTCTCCCACACGAATGGCCCGATGACATCACAAAATGGCCGATTTGTCGGAAAACTGCACAATCTAGTCTAGATCACATGAAGTGTGAAATGTCTGGGCATCCCTGCTGTGTAGGGATACAAGGTGAATGTCAGATTCATACAAGAGAATACTGTGATTTTGTCAGTGGATTTTTCCATGAGGAAGCCACGCTATGCTCGCAGGTCAGTAGAATACTGTTATGCCACACATTGATATGACATGCACAGAATTTTAGGTTATAGACCTCATTTGATTGAATGTGTGGAAATGTTTAATTTACACAATAATTTACATAATGGCTTGTTGCATTGTCACATCACAGTGTGCTTATAGTTTGACCTTAAAAATAACAATACACTTAAAGCAATTGTTTTATCAATTGATTACATTCTATTTGCATATGACACACTTAAACATCACTGTTTGATATTTTTTTTAATAATGAATGTTTATTTCCTTTTGAGTTGTGATTTGTTGTCATAATGTCTTTTGTTTAAGTAGTGCAGCGAGGTTAGGATTTTAAAAAACCTATGCCAATGCGCGTTGCAATAGATGAGTTTCACGTTTCCTAGGTTCAGTAGATTCAGTTCCGGTCAGCAGAAATGAGCAGTTTTTGTCAGTTATTGTACTATACTTCAGTTTTGTTTCAAACATGTTGTTTCTGTATTGTAGTAACCCACGTTGCCTCTGAAATTCATGAACTTCTCATAAAATATTCACATTCATTCAGACAAAATATAATTATTTTGGTATCCATATGTACCTAAATGTAAAATATTTCTGGGGGACAACGTACAAGCATGCATATTCAACCTATTCACAAAACTGTGACAAACAGACTCCAGGATGACTGGTTGTGAAATCGTCATCCCCATTGCTGTCACACATGTGTTCAGTAACGTGGCAATCATGGAACATTCCCAGGAACTCAAAACTCATACAAGTGTGATCAGATGGGCATTTCATTTCATGACCAGGAAAAAAAAAAACCTCCCAAAAAAACACACACGCTAAAAACACAAAGGCTCATGGGTACACACTTGTTTGTAAACAATGACACACTATGGCCATCTATGCCAGCTATGGCATATGCAGGTGACGACTTCCCCGCTTTAATGATCTGCTTCAAAACTGAGCATCATTGAGTGTCATAAACATTAACAACCTTCCTGTCGTTTTAGCGCTTTCTTTGACCACACAAACCTGCCTCACTTGTGCTATAACTGTACTGTAGGTGCAATCAAAATCAACACTTTGGGCAAGCTTACTTATACTTATACTTTATTAAACACATTAAATTCCCCAGGAGGAATTAAAATGGTTACATTTACACTAAACAAAACTAGACTAATAATACAAAACATTAAGACTAAAGTAACGATTAAAAAAAATAGTAACAATAATTTAAATAAAAAGAAATAAAAAACATGAATAGTAATAAATCCCACTAACAGCAATAATAAAGGTAGAAGAAACCATTGTTAAAAAGTAATAACAATAATAATGCGTTAATATATTAAGGTTTAAAAATCTTGGAGGTGTTGCTGTCTTAAGTCGAGGGCAGTTTTAATGAATTGTCCGAGTGTGATATGAAATGAGGTAAAATTATAACTCATTGTCAGTGCAAATTGTTCATTAATTGTAAAATTATCAAAATTATTAATTTTTTTCTTACATTTTCCAAATATTAATTTTCTTTGGTAAAATGGACAAGTCATGATGAAATGTTGTTCGTCTTCTATTTGGTTTGTTGTGCAAAGTTCACATACTCTTTCTTTTACAAGTGTTTTTGGTTTGGAATGTCATCCTGTTTATATTTTTAAATTATGGTTGCTTAGTCGAAATTTACATAATGTTTGTCTTAGTTCAACATTTTTCATTGATATCAAATAGTTTTCTAATTCAAATTTATTTTTAAAATAAAGCTTACAATAGTTTCACTATATTTGTGTTCTTTTGTTGTTATCAGGTGGATTGCATTGACAATATCTGTGGTCTTATCCGGCCTCGTCATCCTAAATATCCCGATCAGTTTTACAGATTATGGCTTTCTCTGTTTCTACATGCTGGGTAAGAATATGGCAGGCTGCCTGCAACAAAATAATATTTACTGTGCCGTATATATAATATTGTATGTCTACAAAGTAACTTTATATGCACTATTTATAGAAACTTTGATTATTCAGGTCCTGGAGGTCTTACAAAGTAATACTATATGACTATGGAAACTTTAGTATTTAGACCCTGGTGATTTAACAAAGTAATATAACAGAATCCATGGGAATGTTAGTATATTTAGAGGTTTAAAAATGTAATATGTATCCATGGATACTTCAGTTATTCATATTCTGGTGGTTTAACAAAGTAATATTACATGTATCCATTAAAACAGATTTAAAAAAGTAATGTGTATCCTCAAAAAATTCAGTTATTCAGCTTTTGGTTATTCAACAAATTGCTTTGCTGCTGATTAATGCACAGTGAGCAAACCTACATTGCAATGGAAGAAGCAGTAGTGTTGTTAGTTATGCTTTACTTATTTTTTCACTTCAGACTGCTTCACCTTGCTTTAACTGTGGTATTCCAAATGACTATATTAAGAGATTTAGAGAAATTAGCTGGCTGGTTGCGGATATCGTTGATTTACATGATGAGCGGAGTTGCTGGGAATTTGCTTAGTGCTATATTTATACCATACAGAGCAGAGGTGAGTCATCACGGCAGTAAAAATTCACTTTGATCTTGACAGGCTACAGTCGTCAAGCACTGCGTGTTCGAACTTCATGTAAATAATTAATGTAATTTTACTTTGCTTATGGGTCCCTTACTGAGCACATTGTGATGCGATGACTGTAGTACTTTTAATAGTTTGAGCACAGTTAGTAGTAGCACACTAATTTTAGAGCTAACAGACAGCATTTGAGTCAATTTTCAGTTTTTACTTAAAAAATTTTGCTATTTTTGTCCCAATCTTATAAAGGAAAGTGCAGAATCTGAACTGTGAATTTGTGATGAAAAGAGGAAACTGGTGGAGAAAACATTAAAGTTTGAGTTTTCAGATCTTGTTGCGTTATCAAATCACCGAATCGCATACATGATTCATCGTTCGAATATGAATTATATTTGATGTATTTCCCACTCTGGTTATACTTAAGATGCACACACAGACTTTTGAGTTGTTTTGCATATAGCACTAGACGTTAGATCTATGAGATGTCTATCTTATTCAATGTTACAACTACATATGAGTAAATGTCAAACATTGAAGATTAAATGCTTTCTAGGGTAATTGTGTTTAGCTTGAATTCAAAGCAGAATTCAAACTGTAACATATGATGGGATTTATTGTGTTGAAAGCAATAACAATGAATAGCACAATATCAGTATAACTAGTGAACACTAACTTTCAGATTTGATTGTCAGTCAAGTTACTCAATACTGAAGGAACTTTTATTTAAATTTTGTCGACAATACAAATGTAAAAAATGCACTGAAGTCCATTTCATGCATAATTATTGTGTATCATCAGATCAAAAATGGCCAATTGGCAGCCATTTGTTTCTTTAAAAAATCATTTGAGAACAAGAAAAGTGAAAAACCTACACTAATTTCCAGTTTTCAACTATAAGATTTGAATTGATTATTGGCAGGCAGCTTGAACTGTCAAAACTGTTGGATAACATGAAAAAACCCTAATTAATCTGTTATTTTGATGTATTCCAGGTTGGTCCAGCAGCTTCCTTATTTGGTATACTAGCCTGCTTGATTGTAGAAGTACTGCAGAGCTGGCAACTTTTAGAGAAACCAGGCATAGCTCTCCTAAAGCTTCTAGGAATTGTGGGTGTTCTACTGATTCTAGGTCTTCTGCCGTGGATAGATAACTTTGCGGCGATTGGCGGCTTTTGTTCGGGAATCCTTCTCGCATTTACTTTTCTTCCTTATATTTATTTTGGTGAGTTTGACAAGACAAGAAAACGAATTCAGATTGGAGTTTGCTTAGGATTATACATTTTGCTGATGATTTTAGGTTATATGGTATTTTATTTGTATCCTGTTCTAGACTGTAGCTGGTGCTATTATTTCAATTGTATTCCGTTTACCGATAATTTCTGTGATAATATGGAGATGAAATTGAAACCACGACAGTATGAACTAGTCTAACTGCTGCATTGTGGATTATTATCTGTCAATTAACTCAATAAATTTTGTACATTCGTTTTGTTTTTTTATTCATACTTGGTACATTCATGAATGAGTGCTGTCGCAACGCTATCATATTTGTATTCTTAATGTCTTTGCACTTTCAATGATTGGTACGTACTCCACAGCCACAATGTAGCACACATTCAAATTTTGTACGTAATCATCAGGACTCATTAACGAACATGACACGGTGCGACATTTGTGACGCTTTAATTCAAAGTGCTTGTGTACATCATTTCATTGAACATTGTACTTTTTTGTGCGATTGACAATAAATCATAATCCAGAAGCTGCAACATCAACATTCACATCTAGGTATATATACATACATATCGTACAAAATATGATATTCATTCAGAAATACACGTTTTCAGGAAATATATCAATATATTCAGTGAAACTGTTAAATCATATCAAATGATTTTTGTACTTTTTCTCAGTTACTTGGGCAGTTATTGTCTTTTATAAACTCCTTTTTTTTTTAATTGTCTTTGAGGCGCATGCATTCCATGTCCAGTCATGTAGAAATTTTGTGATAGCGCCCTCATAGTATGAATTGTGTAGTTGTCTATGTACATATTTGCTGCTTCCATCTCGTATGTTTAAAGTGTACACCCAAATTACTCTGTGAAATGAAGAAGATAATTGTGTTTATAAAAAAAAATCTTTATTTGCAGTAAATAAAGTTATCATGAATATTGTCTGTCAGTTCATGTGTGGGTGATAAGTTTTTTGTTTTTTTTGGGGGGGGGGGGGTACAACCTTGATAGCATGGGAATGTTCACCAGTAATACTGTACCCTTGTTAAAATAAAAACAACATTTTTCAAAAATTGTACACTTGGCAGACTAGCTTTCTTTTTTGTTGTTTATTTCCTCTACCATAATGGCAATTGTTTTGTTGATTTTCCAACCTGAAATAGATACCAAATGATTTACTGTTGATTTCATCATGTTGTGGATGTCCACAATCTAGTCACAAAGAAATGACCCATTTTTGGTATACTTTTATGATGACCTTCCTCAATGGTTAAGGTCCTCAACATTTATTTTACAATTTCAGTTTAATTGAGAATATAACAACCACTCCACCAAAATCCCAGTGTTTTGTCATTCATCATAGCAAGCATTGTAATAAAAAAAATTCAATGTAAGATTATAGAAAATTTTTAAAATTCTTTAAATACTGTATTGTATTTAGAAGCACAAATAAAACCAAAACATTGCATTTATTGTATGGTGAATTTTAAAAATATAACTGTACAAAGTGCCTAATTGCTCGAATGACAAATTTCAATTTATGAGAATATTTTTGCAAAACCACGTCCAATTAACAGTTAACCGAATGGACAATGGGCTACTGAGGGCGCTCTACCCAAATACTGTGATCCTTCTACACCATATATTACCACCTTCAACAGCGGTCGCAGTAAACATACCACAACATAAATTCGAAAAAAAAAACTTCAACTCTGTACAAAAAAACACACTCATTACAATTGAGTTATTAAATAAGGGATGGTGACACAGCAATTTGCGAGGGCTAAAACAGCACGGG